ACCCGCCCCCGCCCAGCCCGTCGCTGCTAGGTAACCGGCAGGCCCCGCCCCCGCACTCCCTGCCCATTGGTGGGCACCGAAGACGGGGGAAGGAGGCGGGGCCTTGGGGATCGGCCCTTGGCAGTGATTGGCCGATGGCGCCGTCGATCGCGGGGGAGGAGGTGGAGGCGCGGCGCGGGCTGGGGCCCTGGGAACAGCCTGGGAGGGCCCCAGGAAGAAGCGAGCAGAAGGTGGGGGGTGCGAGGGTGCCGACGGCCGAGGCGCGTGGGGGCGGCACCTCGCCAAGTGTCAAGTCGGGGAGTCAGGGCCCTGGGCTTCGCCCCCCGAAGGCGGCCGGAGCCGCGGACTCGTACTGGGCGGGGAACGGCCCCCGGGCGCTGGCTCGCTGGCCTCGCGGCTGGTGAAGGACGGGGAGAGGCCGGCTCGCTGCCCCGGGGGTCTGGCCCTGGCTCGGCCCCCTCGGAGGTAAGTCCAGGAGAGGAGCGAGGCGAGGGGGCGGGAACCGGAGCGGGGGGCCGTGGAGGGGCGCCCCGCCGGCGAGCGAGGACCGTGGCCGAGATTCTGGAGGGGGGTGGGCTCCGGGGGGCGGGCGGGCTGCGGAGGAGGACGGTGGGGGACAACTCCGGAGAGGGAGCCGGTCCTACGGGGGGGGGCCCTGGTGGGTCCTCCTCGTGGTGGGGGATCCCGGCTCCTGGCTGAGGGGCGCTTTCTTGAGGAGCGTGAGGGGTGGTGGGCTGGTGGGGCGGGGAGGTGGGGAAACCTGGGAGAGAGGGGGGGACCCCCTCGGTTTCCTCAGGAGCTTCCTGGGAGGTTCTGCTGAGGAAGCGGACCGAGCCGGCACACGAGGTTCCCGGAACAAGTCCCTTGGAGAGAAATATTGACATAATTTAGACGACCGTCCAGAAATGACTTGCTTTACGTTGTAAACGCCAGATCTGACTGTTTCCCTCTCATTCAGCCTGATGCTCTCCGCCAGCGTCCCGTCCCTGGACAGCCCTCGTTCACGCCTTCAGGACAGGCGCCCAGGGAGGCTCAGTGACCCACAAGTCCTGCCGCTGGCGGAGCCGGGACACACGGCGAGGGGTTCAGTCAGGACCTGAAGTCGGTGTCCCTGACGGTCATGGACCTGCCTCACTCCGCTTCACGTAGACGTGGACGCAGAGGAAAGGGAAGCGTCTTCCTCACCGACCTTTGTGGTTCAGCCTCCTTTTGGCTGCGGACTGGCTTCCTTTGTCTTTGTTGCTCGCAGTGTTTTAAGGTAGATCCTTGTGTAGGTAGTTTCCGGGATTCTTTCGGTTGCAAGTGACAGAAAGTCAGCTCACACCGGCCATAGCAACGAGGGCACTTCCCTTTCCTCTGGGGAAGCCCGGTGCTTGCACGCTTCCACCGAGCAGCCTCGGGACTCATGCCCATTGAGCTGCGCGGGTTGTGGGCCAAGGTGGCGCTGGCTGGGTGGAGAGGAAGACCTGCTGCCCGCCCAGAGGAAGTCGAGTGGCTGGGACGTGACAGGTGGGGACTGGCAGGCACAAGCAGGGGTCTTGTCGCTCTGGGAGGGGGTCAGCCTGGGAAGTGTTCTGAGCTGTCTGCTCCCATCGGTCACCAGACAGTAGGAGGAGAGGGGCCTCTCCCGAAGCTCCCGTGGTCTCCAGCACCACTCCATTCTCCAGAAGGTCCTGCTCCTGACACCTCACGTTTGGTAGTGGCTGAGCTAGGAGACCCACTCTGAGCCCGGCCTGCCTTCCAGGTGGGCTAGTGGCTCAGCAGCCTTGTCCCGGGCCTGCTCTCCCCACCTGGCAGCTGGACAGGAGGTGCGCAGCTGGGAGGGAAGCCATCAGTCAGAAGAGCATTCACAGAGCACCTGCCGCGAGTGCAAATGAAGGAGCATCGCACCTTGAAGCACGGACGCGACGGGGCAGACGCAGACGCAGAGCAAGGTGTGGGTGGGGTAGTCCTACCCACCGAGGCATGGAGAACCAAGCTGAGAAAGCCACCGCCTTGCCTGAGGCTTCCGTGAGCCACCAGCCTCCAGAGAGGTCTCCAGCACGGGTGTGGCCACCCCTTCAGCTGAAGGCGGAGGTCTGAGTCCCGGGCCAGGAGACCACCAGTGTCCTATGAGGCCTTTTCTAATTTTGTGGAAGCCCCCGCAAATGGCGGCGGTGTCTGGGGTTAGGGCCGAGTGCCAAGGGTAAGGACCTAGGGCCTAAGCAGGGGACAGGGCCTGGCGGTGGGCTGGGTGAGAGGTCAGCCCAGGGCCAGCTCCCAGGAGTCAGGAGCGCATGCTTGTCCGGGCGCCTTTGTGTGTTGGAGGCACTCAGAGTCCTTTACAAAACCCACGTCGTTCTTCTCGCCTCAACTCAGAGTGTGTTGGGGGGTGATGGGGTCTAATGACTGACGTGCCTGGAGGTTGGCAGTGGTGCAGCTGGGAGATCGCTGGCCAGCCCTGGGGTTTGGCCTGCCCCCCTCCAAGACCAGCCACAGGAGCCACTGCTACGATGAGAAGCGTTGCTCTTCCCACCTTGTCTGCAAAGGAGCAGCAAGGGAGCCCGCGCTGGCAGAGAGGGTCCCCCCAGGCCGTGGGTCCTCACTCCAGACCAGGGTGCTCTTCTTCCTGTGCAGTGGGAGTGGGGAGCGGGCTTCTGAAAACGAGCAGCTTATCAACAGCCCCTGAGAACACAGGTGGGCTGCAGCCCTCAGGCCACTGGTTTCCCCTGTCACTTCTGACTGCCAGTCCTCACCTGGGCCATCTGTGCAGCAGGGAGGTGTGTAGCCATGGTGATCTTTAGCACCCCAGCTCTGAACCAGAGGGTCCCCCTGCCCCGTGCACTGGCTCGGGCCCTCTCGCACGCAGGGTGCTGAGCTGGGGTCTGAGGCAGGGTGCTCCCAAGAGTGACCCCGGGTCCACCACACCCCCGGGGGGCAGCCCAGGAGGAAAGGCTGGCAGCATGAGGACAGAAGTGCAGCTCTTTGTCAGCTTATTTTTAGCCGTGTTATGTAAGTGGCTTCATCTCAACGTCACATAGGGAGGGGGTCTCAGATTTAATTACAGGATGACAGTCTTTGCTTTTCAAGCAGGCTGTCCCTGGCAAGGCAGGCCCAAGGATTTGGGAATCTTCGCAAAACAGAAGGAGCCCTTTCTGAGATGACCGCCCAGCAAAATTGAACGGTTTTCACCTCCGCGTCTCTCTCTGACCAGCCTAACCCGGTTTGGCTGAGCTTGGCCTAAGGGGGTGGCGATTTTGTCTCATCACAGGGAAATTTTGTGCCTGTCAGGGGAGGCATTTCTCTCCCCCCACACCTTCCCCTGGCGCCTCCTGTCTGAGAGAAGGAACCACCCAATCAGAACTCCTCCCTTTCTTCTTCCTGGATTGAAGTGCTTGTCATGGGTAACCAGAAAGTTCCAGCGCGGGAGCGACGGGGGGCCGGGAGCCCTGTGGGGACAGGCACAGGCAGCATGGCTTTGTCTTGCCCAGCCCCTCAGCCTCACTGCTTCCTCCCTGTATGTCAGGTGCTCTGGGCGACAGGGCTGGGCCAGGGTCACTGGGCAAAACTGGCCAAATTGTGTCCAGAGCACTGTTTCCGGGCTCCTGGCCAGGCCCGCATTCTTCACAGCAGTGTTATCAGCAAGAAGGTGCAGAGGCGCCTGGGCCGCAGCTCGCAGGCCCGGGAGTCCTGCTTCCTGTGGCAGGAAGGTCACCTCGGCGGCCTCCAGCACACTGTGGCTTTGTCCACCCTAAAAGGCAGAGCCGTCTTTCCTGCCACGGGGTGAGGCGTGACGTCCGCCTGCTGGGTCTGCTGGAGAAGGAGCAGGCGCAGACGCAATGGGGACTCGTTACCGGGAGCCAGGCACTCGGAGGCCGGCAGCACCCGTGGCTCCCCTGGGCTTGGGCTGGTTTCTCAGCCTCTCTGGGTCCCACCTGTAAGAAGAGGTAAGCAGATACCTGCCTTGTGGGCAGGAGTCCAAGTGTAAACAGAGCAGGAAAAGCACCCAGAACTGTACCTGGCACGCAGAGGGGAGCCTTCAACGTGTTCTGCAGGCCATCGCCGCCAGTGACTAGAGGGGACGTCTCCACAGAATGCCCAGGTGCTACATAGAAAGGCACGTGGAAGCTGTCCTTTACAAGTGGGGTGCGCAGGAAGACCCCTCCCTTCAGAGAGCACTGGATGGCAGGGGACGCTGACAAGCACACGTCTGCCAGGTGAGCCAGGTCACATCAACAGGTCACAACAGAGTCGTGGCGACCACGCACGCGTGGCCTTGGTGGAAAGAGAAGGGTCTGTCACCCACCCCTGTGGCCTTCCTCCTAGAGCGCACCACCCCAATCTAACCATGAGAGAAACGACAAATTCCAGCAGAGGGACAGTCCACAGAACCCCGCCCAGCGCTCCTCAGAACTGCCAAGGTCACTCCAACAAGGAGCGACTGAGCCTGCGGAGACGTGAGGACTGAATGTCACATGGGATCCTGGAGCGCAAAAGGGAGGATAGGTAAAAACTAAGGAAACCGCGAATTAAGTGTGGAGTTCAGTTAGCAATAAAGTGTCAATAATGGCTCATGAATTGTAACAAATGCCCACAGAAGATGGTTACAATAGGGGGAACTGGCCGAGGGTATGTTTGCAACTATTATGTACGTTTAAAACTGTCTTAAAGTTTATTAAAAGCGGGGCGCTAGGACTTGGCAGAGCCTGTCTATTTGACCTGCAGGTCTGAAGGAGACGGCCTGTCCTCATCCCACATGGCGGGTCCCCGTGGGGTCAGCAGGTGGAGCAGTTGTCCCCACAGAGAACCCAGGGCCTGCTCTGACCACGTTGCAGCGTGGCTGCCACGCAGGAGGCTGGTGTGTGGGTCCCCTAGTCTGTGCAGTGGCTGCACTGCCCGTGACACAGTGAGGTCCTGAGGGGCCACCTGCCAGCAGCCCTCCCGCCAGCGCAGTACGGGCTCCCACCCTCCTGCCTCCCTGGTCTTTTACTTAGATTTGCCCTTTCCCCAAAACCTGCTCACCCTTGAACTGAACATGGTTCAAGGGCTTTCTTCTCTGTAACCAGAGAGCTGGCCATCAGAGAAGAGGATTCACGCCTGTGCCTCCAGGGACCGGTGATGGCACCCGGTCCGCCCTGGGAGCGAGGCTGGGCGGGAGCACGGCTGTGTGTCCGTGTGGGCGTGTGCGTGGGCCCCTGCCTGGGAAGAAGAGAGTCGGATCTGTGAGGCCGTGGGCGTCGGTGGGCGCCGAGCGGAACTTGCTAAGGCTCTGGGAAGGTGGAGGAGTGGGGCATGGCTTGGCCTTGGCCTCGCACGGGCCCCTCCTGGCCCTTGGTTGCGGTGGTCCAGTCTCAACCCTCTCAGCGAAGCGGCCCAGAAAGTTCCCAGCTTGCTTGGCCTCCCCAGAGCGTCTCTACTGGCCAGGCCAGGATGGGCGGCGGGGGCTTCCTAGGAGGATGGGGGGCAGGGGAGGTGCTGGCCTGTGGCCTGGCTGGCTGGCTGGTGGGGAGCAGTTCCCCAGCAACCGGCCCCTTACATAATCCTCATCCCGTGACTGCGGGTGCCTGTGGGAGGCAGCGTGGGGGTGAGCAGAGGGGCGCAAACGAGTCTTGGAGTTTCACTGGGTGTTTCTCCCCTTGTTATATTTCAGCATCATCCTGCGTCTGCCAGCTCAGTCACCCACTTGCTTATTAGAATACATTCACTGACAATGCTGATTTAAATAACTCCTGCAGGTGATGAGGCCCCTGGGGAGCCCTCTGTCCCTGGGCCTCCTGCCCCAGCCCAGGTGAGGCAGGGAGGACCAGATGAGGAAGGACCCTATGGGGAGCTGGCTGCTCTGCCTGGAGTCCAGAGCTGGGTGGGGTGGGCTGGGGAGGAGGCGAAGGCAGGCAGGGAACACAGGCAGCAGGGGACCCCCCCCTCCCCGATACATGCAAACCCAGCTGGCTGTAGGACCCTCCAGTGAGGGGCGAGGCGGGGAATGCAGGTGAAGGATGCGCGTGGACCGCCTTTTAGGTAAGGAGGCCAGCACCTCGTCTGAGCGAGTGCAGCGGCCAGCGCTGTGTGCCCGGCCTGGCTGCCCCAGGCACACTGGGGCTTGGGTGGTCACTTGGCTTTCCCAGGAAAGATGAGGAAAAAGAACAGGCTTCACACAAAACAGAGTTACTCTTCATTTACCCCTGAAATGTCGTCTTTGTTTTCTTATCTCTGCCTCTTAAATGACTTAAATTGCCTTGAAAGTGATCTGAAAGGTATTTTGGAGTTGAGAGGAGGAAATCTGTTCTCTGGAATCTGAAATTGGAGGACACGCTGGGAAACAAGCCCTGCAGGTGTCCCCGTGGGGTCCGTCTGAGAGGACACGCACACCCAGACCCAAACCTGCCGTCACCGGCTCCTGACGCTGCTGCAGTCAGACTCCAGACGCCGCCTGCTCCGTGCTCGCAGATGGCGTCCTGGCCCAGGGCGGCTGCTGCTAATTTCAGCTGCCGGAGGCTCCACGCTCTCTCTTTTTTAAATTCCATGTTTATTTAAAGCCAGATTTTCAAATGTCGTCTTCAGCCCTGAAATCTGACTTTTTCTTGCTGCAGATCCTAAAGCCCCACTTGGAACCCCATAGTCCCCAAAGGGGGAAGTTGAGGCGGACTTGGGTTGGATCCAGGGCTTACCTTGCCAGTGGGACGAGAGAAGCGGTGTGAGGGTCTCAGGTCCCCCCCACGCCAGTCGCTGCACATGAGAAGGGGTGTTTTGGGTCGCCTGCCCTGTCGTCACCCTGTCTCAGGTGGGTCCTAAGGCAGCAGGGCCTCTCCTGGCCCAGGTGTGTCCCCTGGAGGCGGGTCAGGGCCCAGGTCAGCAGTTCCCACCAGGTGAGGCGGCCTCAGGTGGCCTGTGCTGCGCCGGCTTCTCCCCCATCTCCGCTCCTCCTGGGACTCAGGTCTCCTCATTTTTTCTCGTGTGTTTGGGAACCGGGGACATCCTGAGGGCTGTCCGTGTGCCGGGTTAACACAGCATGAGGCTGCTGTAAGCATCCACACCACCGAGTGGGGGGTGGGCGCTCACAAAACGTGAGGTCCCGGCCCCTTTGAGTAGCACTTAGCTATCCTCATCCCCTTTGCAGCTCACCCCAGAATGTGCTAGAATAACTGGTGAAACTGGACAGGGAGAAGGTGAAACAGGCTGAGGGGCCAGGCTGGGCTCTGGAGACAGAGTGTGTCAGGAGGACACCTGTGGACAGACTGTATTTGGCTGGGAGCTCTTGGAGCAAATGGTAGGGAGCCCAGAGACGCAGAGGGGCTGGGCCTGCGGAGAGCTGTGTGCCCCAGGCCCAGGTCTGTGCCCCCTGGCAGCGTGCGGTGGGGGCTGGCTGGGCTGGAACGTGCTGGAGCTGCGGGGACCGGAGGGGGGGGGCAGCTGCGTGAGTGGCATTGAAAACGACGGAGCTGCCCAGCTTTCGAACCCTGAAGAAGTGCTTAGGAGTGTGGAGTGTTTTGGAATTGCTGCCCTGGCCGGTCTCGTTTGAAAGTAATACGATTTCGAGAAAAATTATTTTAGTATCAAGCTTGAAAATACCATTTGCCCCATCAGGCTCTTTTTCTTCTCAAAAGTTGGAAGAAACAGACATCTTGGTAGAGGTTCGTGGAAAACTTTGGCTGTTCCCTCGCTGCCCGAGTGAAAAGAGAATTCCTCTCAGCGGGAGGTACAAGTGTTCTGAACAGGTGGGGGTGATATTGCACCCCAGTCTGGGGGTGACATCCCACCCCAGTCCAAGCGGGCTCGCTCCACGTGAGCCCTTGCAGTGTTACCCGGCTGCCCCAGGATGAGGCCCCTGGAGTCTGTGCTAATTGTCAGCCAGATTTGGAGGGTTTCTCTTTGTGCAGCCTCAGGCCTGGCTCCAGAGCCCCTGGGGCTGGCAGTGTCGGAGTCGGCTGTAATTTTCCTCCATTCTTTGGCTCGCAAAGTCCCCGCTGGGAAAACCCCAGTGGCCTTGATTCCACATCAGGAAAGTAAAAGCTGAGACTCCTCCAGCCAGGACGACTCGAGCTGGTGATTCACAAGCGGCCTCGGATGGGTCAGGTGTGATTGGAGCCGGAACAGTAGGACTGGACAGGCCCCCGCCCTCAGACTCCCATCCGGTGTCTGCCGCCGACCTCATGTGAGTGAGGTACAGAGGGCTGAGGACGCAGGTGCACTGGGGTTTAGAATAAGTTTTGTCCCGCCAGACAAGTCACCCTGGCATCTCAGCCCCTGGTCTGCAGAGAGGGGCGGGTGGCAGCCTGGGCAGGTGGGCAGGGGATGCACATGGGGCCTTTGCTGCCACCTGGTGGACAGTTCAGAAAGGTGATGTGGATGTGGCAGGCACTGAGGGAGGGGCCCTGTTCGGGTCAGAGTGCCACCGTGGATATGCTGCAGGACTGGAGGAGGTGGTGACGGGGGCAGCCCAGGCTCGACTGGCCTCCCGGGGCTTGCCCCCGGATTAGGCAGGTGGCAGGTGGATGGAATGGCACCGGGGCTGTGGGGCTAGGGCTCTCCTAAGACAAGCGAGACCCTGGGAAAGCCCAGCGAGGGAGAAAAGGTGACTCATGACAGCGGTCTGTCCTCAGCACGGTGCAGACACTGCCAGGACCTGCAGAGGGGGTGTCTGAGGGACGCGCCATCTCCCAGGCAACTCAGGCTCTACAAGGAAAACTGTCGCTGTGATACGTGTTTTCAAAGGGCCCTATGACATCTTTTTTAAAAACTGAGCTAAAATTCACATAACATAAAATTAACCTTTTTCAAGTATATAATTCAGTCCACTTCGCAGCATTTGGCGCATCACAGGGCTGTGCAACCACCACCTCTAGTTCTAAACCATGTCCATCACCCCGAAAGGAAGCCCCGTCCCCAGTAGCAGCCTTCCCCAGCCCCTGGCAGCCAGCAGTCTGCTTCCTGTCTCTGTGGATTTGCCCATCGGGACATTTCACAGAAATGGAATCACGATGTGTGAACTGTGGGTCTGGCTTCTGTCACGCGGCGTAGCGTCTTTGAGGTTCAGCCATGCTGTGACATGTATCAGGACCCGTTCCCTTTATGGCTGAGGACAGACCACAGCGCGTTTATCCGTCTGTCAGAGGTGGACGCCGGGCACGCCTGCCCTTTGGTGACTGGCTGGTGCTCTAGGAGCACCCATGTTCCAGCTTTTGTTTGGACACCTGTTTGCAGTTCCTTTGGATCTATACCTACGAGTGCAATTGCTGGGTCAGATGGTCATTTCATGTTTAGCTTTTTGAGAAACTGCCGAACTGGTTTTTATAGCGACTGTATCATTCACACCCCAGCAAGGCACAAGGACTTCCCCACATCCTCACCAGCAGTTGTGTATGTGTGTGTTCACTCTAGCCATCAGTGGGTGTGAAGTGGTTTCTCATTGTGGTTTTTTCAATTCCAGCTGACATACAAGATCACATTAGTTTCATGTGTACGCCACAGTGAGTAGACCTTTATGTATCTTACGAAGAAACCACCCCGTTAAGTCTAGTCCGCATTTAACAGTGTTATTGACTATGTTCCCTATGCTGTACTTCACATCCCCGTGACCATTTTGATAACTGGTAATTTGTGCTTCTCGACCCCTTTCACCTTCCTCACCCCCAGCCCCTCCCACGTGGCAGGGCCCCACAGCCCTTGCCAGTTTGTTCTCTGGATCTAGTAGGAGTTAGTTGCAGCATTTTTCACAACGGCCACAGTAGGGCAACCTAGGTGTCCATCGATAGACGAATGGATACAGAAGTGGCACACATACACCATGGAATATATCACTCGGCCATAGAAAGGAGGGAAATCGTGCTTTTTGCGACAACATGGATGAGCCTAGCGGGTGCTGTGCTGAGTGGAGTAAGTCAGGCAGAGACAACTACACCACGCGATCTCACTTATGCGTGGAGTCAGCCCCTCACTGTGGCTTTGGTTGCATTCCCTGGTGTCCGCTGGCACTGAGTATCTTTCCACACATGGCATCTTTCTCTAGAGCAGTGGTTCTCGACCTGTGGGTCGCGACCCCTTTGGGCGTCATTCACCCTTTCACAGGGGTCGCCTAAGACCATCGGAAAACAAAAAGATATTTACATTATGATTCCTAACAGTAGCAAAATTAGTTATAGAGTAGCAACGAAAATAATTTTATGGTTGGGGGTCACCACAACATGAGGAACTGTATTAAGGGGTCGCGGCATGAGGAAGGTTGAGAACCGCTGCTCTAGACTTTCAGCACCTTCATGTCAGAGCTCCATCAGGGACGTGGGCCTGGGAGGTGCACTGGGCCTCCCTCCCCCGGGCTCCCCAGCCAGACGAGGGCTCCCCGGACCCAGCCCAGCTGCCTCTCCAGCCTAGAAGCAGCAAGGAACACACTACCTCTACGTGTTGAGCAGTTCCTGCATGCCTCTAAAACAAAGGGGTGGCATGTGTGAACTGGGGGGTCCTGAGCTGACCGGACGCTGAGATGTTTGGAAGAAGGCCTGCAGTCCCTCTGCTGCCCGGTGCTCTCTGTGGACAGACAGGGCAGATGCCCTCGGACACGTGGGGTGAGTGGAAGTCCTGACCTGCTGCCTGCAGACGCTTTGGGTGGGAGCCCAGACCGTCTGCGGCCCTGGCAGGAGGATGTGCTGCCAGGTGGTGGCCAGGAGCCAGGGAGCTGGGCTCAGCCGCCTGCCCGAGGTATGTCGCCCCCAACCACACAGAGGACAGGTGGGGCAGGACATCACGCTGAGGCCCGGAGCTTAGGAGGGGCTTTCCTAAGGCCACAGGCTTGGGTGGGGGCAGGGCCTCTTCCCCACTTGGGTTGGGGGGCGCATCTGGCCATCACACAGTGGGCCACAGCTGGGATTGCGACCCTGCCCCTGGGATTCCTGTGTCACCGCTGCCTCTGCCCGTTGCCCTCCCCCCAGCTCCCCCCTCCTCTGGCCAAACCCCCATATTGGGGAACCCCCAGCCCAGGAAGGGGCTCTGATGCCCAAAGTGTGACCACCGGTGCCTGGACCCTATCCTGAGTTTGGCCGCTGGCCCTGCACTGCACAGAGGCCGAGATCACACCTGTGGGCAGGTGCACACTGGATTTGGACATACATTTTAGACTCTGGAAACTCCCAGAGGCCATTTCTCCGCTGTCAGCCCCAATCTCCCAAGGCTGCTTATCAAAGGGAACCTGAGCCAGAGGGTCCCCCCACCCCACAAGCCTAAGAATCTACTCATTCCTCAGAATAAGCACCATCTTCTGGCCTCGGATGTCGTTCACATTGTTGTCCATCTGTATGTTTCATTTTCATCTGGCTGCTTTCGTGATTTTTTTCTTTGCCTTTGACTTTTGGCAGTTTAATTATGACGTGTGTTGTGCGCACAGTTTCCTTGGACTTTATCTTGTTTGGGGATGGCCGGGCTTCTTGAATCTTAAATTGATGTCTTTTACCAACTTGGGGACACTTTCAGCCGTTATTTCTTCCAATGTTTCTTCCTGCTCTAACCGCCTCCCCCTCCTCCTGGGATCTTATTAGCACAAGGTTAGGCCTTTCGATGTTGCCCACAGGCCCCCGAGGCCGTGTTTAAAGCCCAGCATCTTCTCTGTCTCGCTCCAGAATGGGGAGCGTCTGTTCCCATCTTCACGGTCAACAAGTTTCCCTCGGTCATGCTTTCTGCCACTGAGGCTGTTTAGTCATTTTTTAGATTTCTGCTGTTAACCTCTCAGCATAATGAAATTCCCATTTTGTTCTTTTATAGTTTCTGCTCCTCAGCCGAGAAGTTCTATCTCCCCATTTGTTTTGCACGGGTTTGGCCTTCCCTCGTGTGGCATGGTTGCACTAACTGCGTTGAAGTTCTTGCCTGCTAACTCCCCACCTGGATCGTCTTGGAGTTGGCATCTGTCGCTTAGCTTTCCCTTGGAAAATGGTCATATTTTCATGATTCTCTGCACATCAGGTAATTTGTGATTGTAAGTTGGACACTTCGCCTGTTAGCTGTGGACACTGGTCTTTTAGGATGCTGGAGAGCTGTCCTGGCCGCCATCATCCCGGTCAGTTCAGACCTTCGGCGGCCAGCGGTTCCAGTCACAGCTGTTTCCAGGGCCTTTTGTGCTGCTTTGGGTCTGTCCTGCGTGTGTGACTCGGAGGTGAGTCTCAGCTCCATTCTCTCCTGTCGGGGACCCCAAGCTCCTGGACCGCATTTCCTGTTCCAGACTTCCTCTTGCCAGGAAGCCAGAGCTGGGCCAGTTTTAGCGCCCTGTGGCTGCAAAGGAGCCCGGCTGGGGCAGGGCCCGAGGGGGCTGGCGCCATGTGGCTCACGGCGTCTGACCCACCTGCCTCCACGGCCCGCTGTTCTGGTTCACGTCACGGAGTCCTTGCAGCTGCCTTGTATTCACTTGAGTGTTTGGTTGCACTGGTGACAGAGATGGGCTGAAGTGGGCTGTACCCTCTGCTACCGTAACGAAGCTGCACCCTCCACATACGACTTTAAAACACAAGAGAAATAATCTGGAGACGGTGCACTGCATCCAAACTATGGATGTGTAAACATTTCTATTGGATTGTTGGAAAAGTCACGATGTATTTTATCTGTTTTTCGTTGCAAAAATGCATCATAGCTTTTCCAACAACCCAATATTTTGCTCGAGGATTCGCGTTACTCGTGATCCAGAGCCTGCAATGTCGGGGTCCCCCGTGCGGCCACACGCACCCAAGTTCAGTGTGTTTGCTCCCTTCCCTCCTCTGGACGCCAGCACCAAGGGCAGCCCAGCCACGGAGACAGACGGGCACAGCCCACCGCAGACTGCCTGGTCACCATGAGCCACTGCGTGGGGCACAGGCGCGTGATCTGTGCCACGTGGATCCTGTGAGCAGCTCCCGGCAGCCTGTCTATGGTAAAGCAGGGGTTTCCCCCGATGCAGCCCTTGAAATAAGGAAGCGCCACTTCCCTTTGTAGCTTCCTTAAACCTCCAGCTAAACTGAGGCTCAGCGCCACCGACTGGGAACTGATGTGGATGAGTGTGTTGTGTTACTTATGAAACATGCTTCCTAAGAAGTGGATGGAGTGAGCAAGAACGGAGGGGGACCGGGCCACACGCAGACAGTGCCGCCGTTCAGAGCACACGGCCCTGACACACAGGGCAGCTCTGCTGGCAGATGCCATCAGGGAGGGAGTGGCCGACCTGCCAGGTGGTCCCCAGGGAGCGTAGTGGGCCTGTTGGGCCAGCGAAGATGCAGACTGTTGTTCCCGTCATAGTGCGGGGACGGCTGTCACAGGAGCTGGCCAGCACTCAGCAAGCCGGGACACCTCAGCCCCGGTCAGACGGGCCTGGCCCTCCCCAGCACCTCCTGACTCCTTAGGCAGCAGATGTGAGGGTCATCTCGGCTTCCACTGCAGCTCAGGGCCCGTGTAGCTCGGCTGTAAGCTAGTGAGGGGCCTGCTGCATCTTCCGGTTAGGAAGACGTTGTTAATTGTGTTAACGTTGTATGGCTGGCCTGAGGGCCACACCCCAGTCGGCCTGCACTCTGCAGGCGGAGGCCCACGCCTTCCTAAGCGCATCCTGCTCTTTGAACCCGCACGCTGGCCCTGGACTTAACAGCACTGATAGCACAGCGTCTGGCTGGCTTTGTCGGCAGCGGTGGTTTCGTGCGTTCCGTGGTCTATTCACTTTGTTGCCTCCTTTCTCCTTGTCGAATCCTGTCATGAGCGAGCTGTCTCCTCTGGCTGATGCGAAGCCACCAGTCAGTTCTCCTTGGGAACAAGTTTTCACCTGACAACAAATCCACCTACTGTCCTTTCATGATTGAATCCACAGAATATGAGGGAGCCGGACAGAGCGGCTGGGCCTGCTCTGCCCCAAATGGCAAGGAGACATGAGAGAAGGGAAGGGGCGGGGAGGGAAGAAAGGGTGGAGTTTTGCATGGCGCTCCTTGTATGGACTCTGTTCTTCCTGTTTGTAACATTTTGGGGGTGGGAGTGGAGTGTTAACAGCGAGAGTGAAGGCCCCCCCTTCTCCCCATGGTGCTGGGCTCTGCTGGGACAGTCAGGCAAGAAAAGAAACCAGAGGCACCCAGGCTGGAAAGGAGGGCGCAGGGCTCTCTGTCTGCAAGTGACATGATCCCACATACAGAGAATCCTCAGGACTCCACTCAAAGCTATACCACACACGGTCAGCATGGCTGCAGGGCAGAGGATTCACATGCAAAAATCAGCCACATTTCTATACACTTGCATCGAATAGTAAGACATTGAAATTAAAAAAAGCTGTCTTTACAATAACATCAAAAAGAATAAAATAGTAATAAACTTAAGAAAACAAGCACAAAACATATACTCTGAAAACTATAGAACTTTGCAGAAAGGATTTAAATAAGACCTGAATACATAAGTGAAAATATATGTGTTCATGGCCCGCAAGACTTAATATTGCCATGATGCAGTACTCCCCAGAGTGACCCACAGACCCAGCACAGCCCCATCCAAATCTCATCTGGATTCTTTCCAGGAATTAATAAGCTGACCCATAAAATTCACAGAAATTCAAGGAACTCAGAAGAGCCAAAACAATCTTCAAAAAGAACAAAGAGGAGTCACACATCCTGATTTTAAAACTTACTACAAAGCCATAGTAAGAATACGAGGACAGGGCCGACCGAGTGGCTCAGTTGGTTAAGAGCGCGAGCTCTGAGCAACAGGGTCGCCGGTATGATTCCCACATGGGCCAGTGAGCTGTGCCCGAGCTGAGCTGCCGCTGAGCTGCCTGGATGGCTCAGCTGGTGAGAGCACGTGCTCCTAACAACACGGTCGCCTGTTTGAGATGGTGGGCTATGCCCACCTGCAACTAAGACTGAACTCAGCACCTTGAGCTGAGCTGCCGCCTGGGTGGCTCAGGGGATAGAGTGTGCGCTCTTAAAAACAAGGTTCCCAGTTCGACTCCTGCATGGGATGGTGACTACGTCCACCTGCAACTAAGATTGTAACACAGCACCTTGAGCTGAGCAGCTGCGAGCTGCCGATGGGTGGATGGTGACTGGACTTGGAGCTGAGCTAGCTGCGCCCTCCACAACTAAGATTGAAGGACAACAACTTGGCTGGTCCCCTTCCCCAATTCCCCAATACAAAAATCTTAAAAAAAAAAAATACGAGGACAGACATCTTATAAATGGGATAGAGTCGAGAGTTGGAAATAAACTCTCACATTTGTGGTTGATTTTCAACAAAGGTGCCAGGGATTCAATGAGGGGAAATAACTGTCTTTTCGACAAAGGTGCCAGGACAACTGGACATCCACATGCTAAAGAATGCAGGTGGAGCCCAAGCTCACACCAGGTAAAAAATTGACCTTGAAAGGGATCAAAGACCTAAACATAAGACTTAAAGTTTTAAAACTCATAAAGGAAAACATAGAAATAAATCTTTATGACATTGGATTAGCTGATGGTTTCTTAGATATGACACCAAAAGCACAAGCAACAAAATAAAAAACAAACTGGACTTCTTCGAAATTAAAAACATTGGTTCTTCAAAAAACACGACGAAAGACACGAAGACAACCCGTAGCACAGGAGAACATTTTTGCAAATCTTATGTCTGATTAGAGTCTGGTATCCAGAATATATAAAGAGTTCTTACAACTCAACAATAAAATGACAACTAACCCAATTTCAAAATGGGCAAAGAATCTAAATAGACATTTCTTGAAAGACACAAAAATGGCCAACAAGCACATGAAAAGATGTTTAACGTCATTAGTCATAGGGGAACGCCAATCGAGGCCACGGTGAGAGGCCACCTCACTCCTGCTAGGGTGGCTGTCATCAAAAAGTCAGACAACAGCCGGTGCTGGCCAGGACGTGGAGGAAAGCGGCCGCACGCACACTCCCGGTGCAGGCACCGTGGGGCGGCTACTGAGGGAGAGTCCAGCAGTTCCTCAAACAGCCACCACATGACCCAGGGAGCCCACGTCGAGGTTGAAAGCCGGGAGAAATGAGAACACGTGCCCACACAGGAACCCGCACACGGCGGGAGCACTACTCCCAATCGCCAAAAGCGGCAACAGGTGCTGAGGGGGTCAGCGAAACGTGACAGATCCACACAGGAGGGTGTAACTCAGCCACAGAAGGAGCGGAGTGCTGACCCACGCCACAGCATGCGTGACCTCAAAGCCATCACATTGAGAGGCCAGACCCAAAAGACCATCATGTGATTCCATGAAATGTCCAGAACAGGCAAATCCAGAGACAGGAAGCATCAGTGGTTGCAGGGACTAGGGGAGGGGGGCAGATAGGGTATTGGTTTTTTGTGGGACGATGAAATTGTCCTCGAGTTGACTGTGGTGACGGTGGCACACCTGTGACA